GCAGTTAAAGACACTCAAATTTATAAAATGGTGCTTCAACTTTGCACCATCATCCAAGGTGTATACGGCCTTTGAATGCCTTCTAACATCTCCAGTTCGGCTTCCTCTCCCAGCTTTAACATCATTTATTGGAACTGCAGGGGCGCTTCACTCAGGAAACCTGACATCGAAAAATTGTCTGAGTCCCATGATATTATTTTCTTAGCGGAAACCCTTCTAAACCCCTTACACCCTTACTCCATTCCAGAATTTAAAGTAATTCGTCAAGACCGTGACACTGGCCGTCAAGGCATAGCGCTGCTCATCCGCAATAATATCAAATTTACGCTTATTATTTTGGATAGCATTCTGAAAGTAGATGACTCTGTTGAAGTTATTGGCATCAAAATTTCGGTTAACAACACCAGTACCGCCCTCTTTGGACTTTATAGACATCCCACCGGGATTTGTCCACAGAGAACCTGGCAAAGGTTTTTCAACCTGTCCAATTCCTTCCCTCAATCTCTACTCTTAGGAGACTTCAACGCACATCAATCCCACTGGGGGGCCTCTTCTCCCAATTCGGCGGGACATGTCATTATAGACTCGCTGGACCGTTTCTCTTTTATGTTACTCAACCCAAATATGCCTACGTTTATTCCTCCCCCAGGCATTAAACCATCCTTAATAGATCTTGTCATTGCTTCTTGTAACTTTGTTTCTCTCCACAACACTCGCGTGTTTAACGACACGCGCGGTAGTGATCACCGTCCGATCGGTATCACAGTAAACGCCAAAATTAAAACAAACTGTGTCTTTTCCCACAAGTATAAGTTCACCAAAAAACAACTTAGAGAACTCACTTCTTCTCTAGAGAGCAAAATGCATGAGATTGAGGCGCTCGATCTCCGCGACGCGGACAATGAGCCCCTAAAACAGTACGACTCCTTTATCAACTCTCTGCAGGAGGTTATTGATACCATCTCCCCCCCTTCCAATACGCCTAGAACCAATAACGGCAGTAGCATCCAACAACAAAATAACACTCACCACAGTCTTCCCCCAGCCCCTTAGTGGAACGCAGAATGCGAAGAGGCGATCAAAGCAAGAAGCCGGGCGTGCAAAACTTATCGAAGGGACCCTTCTGTTAACAATTTTCAAACATATCAAAATCAAGTATCTGTTACCCGAAAAACTCTAAAAACAGCTAAAAGAGAAGGATAGAAGAGACTGTAACTCGTTCAATTTTATGACTCCCACACCGTCGATCTGGAAGATGATTAAAAGATTCCGAAATCGCAAATTAGCACCATCCAGAGATTCTTTCACGATAAGCGAGGCGCTTGCCGATGAGACCATGGCAAATATAACTCCCCCCTTTTGTACACCAGACCGTCCTAACCTCCTCAATAATCAAACAAATTCCGTTGGTCCTCTGTAATGGCTTGATAATCTATTATCAAAATATGACGAATATCTAAATAATAATATCTAAATAAAAATATCTAAATATGACGAATTCCATCATGCTCTCAACACATGTAAAAGTAATCCGGTTCCAGTCCGGGACTCGACCGCATTGACTACAGAATCCTCAAAGCCCTTCCGATCTCCCTTAAGAAACTCCTACTTAGAATTACTAACAATATCTTTGCTGAAGGAGAATTCCCAGAAGCCTGGTCCCATTCTCTAGTTTACCTTATTCCTAAACTCCACGGCAAAGGAGCCCGTCCTATTGCTCTCACTTCCTGTCTACTCAAACTCCTTGAAAAGATGATCCTAAATCGCATTCATTGGTGCGCTGAATCCGGAACATCAAATCTTATCCCAGACCATCAGTTTGGCTTCCGTAAATTCCGTTCATGCTCTGACAACCTTACCATCCTTAACACAGAAATCCATAACAACAACCTTCTTTTGGTAAGGCTACGGTAGCCCTATTTATTGACATCAAGAGTGCTTTCAACAATGTTATTTCCCCCTTTCTAGTCGAAGACCTTATACGAGCCAATTTTCCGTCCAAAACATGCCAGTTTGTCCAAAATCTCATCACAGAAAGAACCGTTCAATTTGTTACCCAGAGCAAGCTCTCTTCCCCGCGCATTTCACGCAAAGGTACCCCTCAGGGATCGGTCCTTAGCCCTTTCCTGTTTAATTTTTATCTCAGAAATATAGCCACACTACTACACCCCAGGGTAAAAATTTTGCAGTTCGCAGACGACATAGTCATCTTTGCCTCGGCCAAGAAAATAAAAAAAGCCATCTGCTGGATCGAGACAACCCTTGATAATATTACAAAATACCTTTACAATCGTGGTTTAGAGATCTCTCCAAGTAAAACGCAACTTATAATTTTCTCCAAGCAAAAAATTTTTAATCCAAATCAATTTAAAGTTCAAATTGGCGAAGACATCATCTCCCCAGCAGACTCAGTTCGCTTTCTAAGCGTCATCTTTGATCCCCAACTCACAGGTATTCAGCATATGGACTCTGTCATCAGCAAAGCCAGAAAGGTCGCGGACGTAATCTCAGCATTAAGAGGAGTTTGGTGGGGATCTCATCCTCAGCTTCTCCTTAATATTTAAAGAGCCGTCTTAAGAGGTTACATAGAATATGCATCTCACATCTTCTCTCTCAAGTCCAGTCCTAAATTCCATCGTTTGGAAATAATTCAAAACAAAGCCATCAGAGCTTGCCTAGGATATCGTATATCCATCCCCATTAATACAATGTTTGCGGAAGCCAAAGAACCTCCCCTCAAGTTACGATTCAAACATTTAGCATCTAAATATCTCATCAAATCTTCTATCACTAATCACCCGGTAGCTATGTTTCAACTGGCCATTACGGCGCAAGACAGACCACCTGACTTGGAGTATTGCCGTAAAAAATTCTCTCTCCTCGATCTCTTCCTACAAGTAAAATCTCTCTTGCTTTACATTCACTCCAAGGTAGCTCCCTCTCCCTTCCAACACTCATATCAATTCATTCTATTCACCCCCACTTTTTTTCGTCCAGATTCTGACCTCTTAAATTTGATTGACAGAACCTCCAAACCTCTGGTGCAGAACATATTTCTTCAGGCGTTCGGCTCGATCATTCAGGATTCCACAGTCTTCTATACGGATGGCTCAAAAATTGATTCATTCTGCTGGATTGGCGCCTCGTTGCTACTCCCCGCAACTCCAAAAACATTTAATGTTCAAGCTCCTTGCTCGCGCCTCGGTCTTCACAGCGGAAGCCTGGGCGATATATAATGCTGTGCTGCTCACCCTTGACCTCCCCGGTCCTAAGTTCTTCATTATTTCGGATTCAAAAAGTGTTATTGACGCTCTCGCCAATCCTATTACGTGTAGGTCAAATTATATAATCCCGCTTATAAAAAACAAAATATTAGCAGCCCAAAGCCGTGGTAAGGAAATCCTTTTCATTTGAATCCCCTCCCACAAAGGCATCACTGGAAACGAGATCGCAGACAAACTTGCCAGAAAAGCCATTTGCTTTGGCACTGTCAACCCGTCATTCAAGCTACCCCACTCAGATCTCTTTATTGAACAACGCGAAAAATTAGCTATAGAGTTTCACAACTATCTATTTAACAGAGCTCGGTGCAAAGGTAACCACTTTTTTTTCAACATGTCAACACGCCTAAACCTTGGTATTATCAATTCGGCCTCAAACGCGATACTATAGTTACGATCTCGCGACTCAGAGCAAATCACTATAATTTAAACCACAGTCTTTTTAGAAAAAATATTATTGATGATGTCTCATGCGCTTGCGGCGACCCAGTCCAAGATATCAACCACGTTATATTTAACTGCCCCTTAACACATATGATAAAGCAACTTATCTCAGACAGGCAGTTCAATCGAGCGAGGGACCCCAATGTAGTGATATCTTTCCAACTCTCGCAAAGCCTACGCGTAAGATCTGTAGACTAATTATGTCTTTTTGTAGATCAGCAGAAATCAATTTGTAATGCGCGCGCTCGCGCGTGCCTGACCGACCGCCGGCTCCCCACTATCTGCCCAGTGGCGCTCCCCCTCGGTTTTCTCCCCTACCTATCCCAACACGACCTCCGCATCGTGAGCTTAAAGTCTATTTACACGGCTATCAACAGCGCAGCTATAAGCTACTCTCAGTCGGCAAAACATTCAGTGGTAAAAGCTGGCCATATTGGCCGCGTTCAGCAGACACAACTGTTGAGTGTTGTCTTATCAACACGCTACGTTGATTTGTTGGGTCTAAAAGTAAGAGCCAATCACGTTCGATTGCTACTGAGCGGTTTGTTCTGCTGAACGCGCCCATAGTCCTCGAAATAGAGGCAGGAGCCAATTAAACAAAGAAGAAGAAGAAGAAGAAGAAGAAGAAGAAGAAGAAGATTTGATATATTTACCTTGATAATGAGTTCTGCATATAGCGATAGAGTAAGATTGTAGGTCGTATTAATAGGAAAATACGGGATATGTTGAGTTACTTAATTGTGGAGATTAGATTTGGTGATCGCGAAAGGCGTGGGGTCCGTAATATATATGAGATATTCAGGGTACTCCTAATATAGCCTACTATGCTCGAGTGACGATCGTTGCTGGAGTATGAAGGTTATTGTACAGTAATAAAAAGAGAAAAAATTACTATGTTAAAGTTAAGGGAAGGTTCATATGAAATTATAAGAGTGTGCTGATGGTGATCGCGTGCTTATGCTGGGCGTACACTGGCTGCTCTAAAAATATTGGGTATAAGTGGGTTTGTGATTATTGCAAATAAGCTTCTCCATTACATTTGTGTTTCAGAAACATTAAATAAAGTTTTCTAATTGCAATACTGATGTATTTTGCACCTTATTAGCAATTTCTCGGGGTATCTCATATTAGGAACATACTTTTTCGATTTTGCATGAAGTTCATTTTTTACATTTTTCTAATTTTAAAAAAAATTAATATTTAAATTAGATTTTACATTTCAGCATCTTAGACCTTATTACATTCCCTTCAAAATGACCTACTACATTTTTCAATTCTGCCCATAGACTTCCGGCAATCACGCAAAATAGATGTGGTATCTTATAATAGGGGACTTTCCTCTATTATAAATTAGAACAAAAACTTAAAAATAAGTTTTAATCGCACATTTATTTTTATTATTGTATATGTATATTGAATTTTTAGAAAATTTTAA